AGATTTCTATTCTGTTTGTTTATACAAGTCATCTCCAGTTGTGGAGCAGAGCTTTCTGATAGCTTCCCTTCCCTTTTCCTCTCCATCCACAACGTTCAGTTTCTGTTTTGAAACTAGATTACAAATGTTTCCTTTGTAATTCTCACACTGAATGAGAAAGCCCAATGTTTAGTCTGTGTAGTTCCTACCCCTCATTTCAGTGTAGTCTTATGTTTCTATTTAGAGTTTACAGTTGCTTCAACAAGCATCAATTCCAAAAGCAAGTTTCTCCTTGCAGGAGGGATACAAGCAGGGTTTACAGTTCTGCTGACTTTGTATTCACAATACAGATTAAAAAAATACGTTCTTAAAATTTAATAGGTCTAGCAACACAAACATCAGAGGTTTAAAAAGTCTAAACAGTAACAATATTACTGTGGGAAATTAAGGCTTGTAGAAAAGGTGTAGTCTTAACTTGAAAAACTACATTGCTACTTCTGACATAAATGGGTGCTACAGTTTCAGTATTTCTTACATCCAGTTCTTGCATCCATTTCTTATATCCAGTTGTGTTTTTCTTCCAGCAAACATCTGATCAAAGCAAAGGGAATGTCTGCTGCAGAAAGCACCAGACGAAGTCGCTTGCCAATCTACAGCTTCCCTTCAAAAACTTAAAAAGTTTTAGGTAGAGCACTGATTATTCCATTTTCAATTTCCCATCATCTCAGATGTTTGTTTGCACAAAAACCGAATCCATTACATACCTGCAAAACTTGTTCTTCTGAGGATGACACAAATAGATCCATTCATTTTGGTTAACAGTATCAAGTTTTTGGCTTGCAACAGCCAGGAACATTCTGTCTAAAAGTCTCACCAACAACAGCAAGTCCTACCTAGATAAGACCAGTATCTTCTCTTGGTATTTTTATAAAGAGGAATTCAAAAGGTACCTCAAGGGTATTAGATAAAAGTACCCAGTATCTTGTATGTTTTTTTTTCCCCCTCCTTTCAAATAAAAAGTAATAGGTAAGCTGCAGAGTGAAGGTTAAAAAAAACCCACCCTTCACAAATAATAAGGGTAAAATTGGTAAAAAGTTTTATAAATACAAAAGACGTAACGTTTTTATTACCCTGTTTCAAAAACAGGGCATCTTCAATGTGACAAGCAATGCTTTAAAACATGCTGAACTGAAGCAAAAGGTTATCCTTATTTTACAAGGATGAGCAAAGTACAACCTATAACCTGCCCAATCTGTTAGAAAAGCCAGGATTTATACTCAAATATCTGGTAATTCAATTCAGAAAGTGGAAGTCTTCAAGTGTTTCTGTTGCTCTGAATGACAACATAGAGCTCTGAAGTCTAATACTCTTTCAGGTATAAATTGAGAAACTACGTACCATGGTATGAGGCTGCAGGCGTTAAGTCACAATATAAAAAAAGGCTATTTATTGCTCAAGTACAGAGAGGTTATAAGCTTGTTGTAAGAAATGGGACAAATAAGCATTATTCTCATAAAATGGGTACAGCACAGAGGAGCAAAATGCACTGACCACTTGACTTTGCTTTGCTGTGTTTGACATAAGGGCTGCTGTTCTCCACTCTAGTCCAGCAAATTACTTCTACAAAACTTAATATTTACAACTGTATCTCCTGCCACTGAAAAAAATGCTCATGGAAACAAAAGAACCACCACATTTAAAAGGTAGGTTAGCAACCTGTAAGCACGCTTAGCAAGCCTACTTCTGTTGCAGGTAAGAGATGCAACCTGTGTCTCATTTTAAACATCCCCTCATGTTCTTTAACTGCTAACCTAATAAACCTTAAGGAGAGATGAATATTGCAGTGATTGCTTAATTCTCCCCAGTCATCTTCAGGTAGATAATCCAAACTACTGAGCTTACTGAAGTTTGGTTGGGGGGGGGAGGGGGGTTGGGAGGTTTTGGTTTTTTTGGTTGTTTTTGTTTGTTTATTTGTTTTTAAAGACACAACCCCCCCAGTGACTATATTCACTAAAGGACTTGCACTGTGCAACTCAACTTTAAGATGAACAGAGCATTTACGCTACACAAAGCACCTCAAATGGTCATTCAAAGCCGATCTCCGAGTAAGGGCTTTGAACCCATCTACACAAATCTCTAAGTATAGGGGCCTGTTTCTGAATCATATTCCATTTCGTACAGGGTAGGATGGGGAGAACTAGAATGAAGAGAATCCATCCATTAGAGATCCTTAGACTACGTTTCCCTCCTGATGGTTAAGAGCAACATACATTTCCCTGAAAAACAGTGACAGTTCCTTGACATTGGCCCACAAAAGAAAATAATTCTGGTGAAGGCTCTTCTTTTTTATTACAAAGAGATCCACAGGCATGCTCCCCTCAGCCCAAGAATACCTGGATTGATTCAAACACCCCTTTCAGTAGAAGTCATATACTCCCTGAACTGGAAGCACTGTCAACCCAGCTTCAATTTCTGAAGCTGTAATCCTGAACAGAAATGAATGCAATGGTTCATAACGTCAAGAGACCAGACAACAGTCTGTTTGGTATCACTACTTACAGGGAGTCTTCTGCTGCCAAGCCTGTCTCAGATCTTAAATACTCGAAACAGTACTGATGAGTATGGATGAACCTTATTGCCCACTTCCTGCTATTTCCCAGCTACCAGTTCTGTAGTCATTGCGCTGTTAGCAGCAGGTACAGCACAGCTTAGTCCTAACTCAAGATTAACTTGAGTTACTGTGGTGCTGCCACATTTAGGGAGCTGTACATCACCTACAATGCTGCAAACTCCACCCCATAACAAAAAGCAGTGTAGGATTCATGCTACAAACCAATCTTCCTCAGCTTCAACCAAAGCTCAGCAAAATACTTTAGCTGCTCAGCTGCAAAGTTACGAAGAAATGAATCCCAATTATTTTAAGTGGACTTGAAAAGTATGAAGCATGACTGAATGTATTACCCTAAGTTCATCTGGCACTGAAAGAAAGAAGCTAGCATAGAAAGATACTAAGTAAGTATAAGGGGTCTAAAGAAAAAAAAAAACAAAACACAGCCAGGAAAGCACTATACCCTGTGATAACACGAAGGCCATGGTGGAGGGAAACAGCAGACAATAGTATCAATCCAGTCTTGCACTGAGAAACAAAACCTAAACACAAGAGGCCTGTTACACCACTGCCATCCCTAAACTCTTTGCTTAACATTTTTGTCTGCATTTGAAACCATTAAGCTGGAACTGAATGGGGGGGTGAGGGGGTGGAAAAGCCTTTGACTCCAGAGCTACAGACTAGGAGGACTAACTGCTTGCTGTTTACCCGTAAAATCCCATGACAAAATTAAACCCTTTAGGAAGGCAAGTCAAGCTATATTGAGCTATAAAGCTCAATCATGAAATAAAAGTGCACTGAATATATAATACTCTCTCAACATGCTAAGAAACCACAAACAACTATAACCAGATGTGTGAGTGTAAGGATATGAATATTGTTTATACAGCTGTAGAAAATGAGGAATGCAAGACGGCAACATCATCAGTGCAAGCTGCTAAAGTAGAGCAGGCCTCCCAGAGTAGCATTTCCTTCATCAGAATTTGGATTTGGTGACAAGATGTTCCCCGATTTAAAGTGGTAAGTTGATAGAAACACTATGTAAGAAACTGGGTCATCCAGCCATGCTAAGTGGCGATGCTGTTTTTCCATAACATCAAAATGAAGGTGAGAGGGGGCTGTCTTGTTTTTCTAGAAAAAGGTCATACGATCCCCTGCCCACACTTGTTAATAAGTCGTGTAAGATTTTGAACTATCAAAGCCTTTATTTGACATCTATTAAGTCTATTTACTTAATTTAGAGTCTATTTACTCTGCCCACACTTGTTAATAAGTCATGTAAGATTTTGAACTATCAAAGCCTTTATTTCAAATTTATTAAGTCTATTTACTTAATTTAGAGCCTATTTACTCTGTAATCAATGAGGTTGTGGAGAAGGCAAAAGCAAAGCAATATGAAAAAAAGTAAATCAAGTACTTCTCTTGTTCATGTCATGCCTGTATTTAAGGCCACGTTTAGTTCTAGAATGTCTACAGGACAGTCTTTATCACAAGGAGTTGAGCACACCTAGATATTAATTTATGTATACCTAATTCTCTGTTCCTGCATAACATAAAAAGCTCTTTTTATCAGCCTTCAGTAAGATCAACAGATCAACCAACATTTCTGTTCAAAAACTAGGGAACGGGCAGGGAGGCAAGAGGGGGACACAATGAGAATGCAGAGAGGGAAGAGTCAGCCAAAGTACTAGAAAACAGGAAGTTATATCAGTCCTTAAAGTTCTGAGAAAAAAGGGTTCCTACAAAAATCTTTCTGCAAAAAATTCCATTTTCTCTAACAGACAGAATCACATCTACCTATAAATCCTATACAAGGTTCCACATACAGCTACAATACACTGAACCTTAAATATTTGTCAATTTTAAAGTAGTATAAAAGTGAAGGGAAAATGCTCTTTAGGACAATCCTAAATTGAAGGGGGGCTCTAAAGGGGCATAAGAGCAATTATAAAATACATCTGTTACCTACATAAAATATAAGATAGGTGTACGTTAATAAAGTGAAAGTTCTTTATTGTGCTTGTGAAGGACAAGTTCTACATCCATCACTTCTCACTTCTGATTTTCATGGAAACCCAAGAACTAGAGTGTAAGTCAAAAAGCGAAAGTCTGAAAAAGTCTTGTTTTCACAGCTCTTTCCTTTTGGTAATGGCAGCTTCAATGCAAGAGACACCCGAGCTTCTGCATTTGGAATTTCAAATGATTTAACTGAAAGGACTTGTGAGTTTTAGGAACAACCATGTGAAAGTTTTAATCTTCAAGAAAAAGGAATGACACTGGATAAATACTTATCCATCTTAGGCATAAACTCAGTAACGTTTGTGAGAATATAGATGAAAATAGCAGAGGTTTGGTATGAGTAGTTACAGAATTCCTCCTCTTCAGTTTTCAAAAACAACAGACAATACAAGATTTTGATTCTTAAATTTATTTTTAGCAGGATGTGTGTACTAATGGATGGTGACATCGTTAGAAGATAGGTCCATGTCCACCACCTGCAACAGAAGCTAGACAGATGTTAAAGAAAACAATTTAAGAGTTAAAGATGACACTACTTACCCAGAGCAGACTTATGAAAGTCACCTACTAAGCAGTACAGTTAGCTTTTGATGCAGACACGACAGCTCGTATTATTTATCTGTTGTCAAAATTTCATGTCAAGATTTAATGCATACATTACCTTGATTTTGATGGGAATCATGCACTTCTGTTTAGAAATAACTACAATAGAAACTCTTATTTTTAAAAAAGTACTCATGGAAAGATTTGTTATTCAGAGTTACTTACCTGTAAATTTTCTTCAGAAGATAAAAGATCTGCAAATTTAGGTCTAAAGCTCCCATCTAAAGTTTAAAGTTAGCATGAATTCGCTGGGAATTCAAATTCTAATACTGTTAAACCAGGTCAACAGCAGGTAACGTTTCTAGATTTCACTAGGAATACAACCACTTGTTTCTTAACATACCTGGGTGTTAGACAGGTATAAGCAATAAGGTAGGATCTCAGCAATATACTCACAGATGGGTGATACTAATTCAGAAAGAAATGAAGACTTGATATGTTACAATCCAGAGACCATGTTATACTAAAAAAAATGTCAGTAGCCAGAAGTCTAACAAAGGAAACAAGCTTGTCTAGAACAAATTAATTTCACCAGAAATTAAAACTTGAGGAGTAAAACCTAGGAACAGACAGTTCAGGAAATACATTCTCAAAGAATTACGTGACAGGCCCTTTCCGAGGGCTATTTCAAATGAGAAGCCAAGAAGCAAGGCTTAATCTGAGGTATGGTATTTCCCAAGACTGTAAAAACAGAGTCCTTGCTTCAGAAAACAAATGCATCTGGCTACAGGTATTTGGTATCTACATCAGAAGATAGCCATTTCTTAAAAATAAATTAAAAAAAACCCAGAGAAACTAAGTCAGCTGGCCCTATAGACAGTATCATGAAGACATCCTGATCTTACGTTTCAAAACTTCAGAATGTTTATCAGCCTGCACCTCCCAAACCAAAAGGCACTACTGGTAGTGAGCATAAAGTCACTCATCTTAACACAAGTTTAGAAGCTTGATTTTAAGGTTCTTGTTCTTTACAGTCTCTTGGCTTATAGCTCTTTATTAGTACCTTGGGTTGACACCACCTTGGCTCATGGTTCTTTATTAGTAACCTGCATTTGTACCACACTGATCAGCCTAAAAACATTCTTACAGTGTACCCCAACATCCTAGGACTTCATCTGCTTAAAACAAACTGCTACAGATACTGAAGGCTGGCTCCTGCTTTCTGAAGACAGACCTCTGAAACCAGTCTGAAACTGGAAGCATGCTGTATAAGAATGAGATTCTTTAACAGTTTAAGCCAAGAAACACAGTTTTAAGGACTATGACAGCCTAGAAATAAGCAATTGCTTTCTCTTACAGCTATGAACTCTTTGATCTAGTAATAATGAGAAATTAAACTGTTTTGTATTTGTTGAAAACAACCAACAAGAGTGGAATCTGTTCACAGCTGCAGTCCATTTGTAATTTCTGACTAATTGTGTTCTTTTGTTTTTACAGAAGTGTAAATCTGTCTGAAGGACTAAGTCACTGCCTTTTGAGCAACTCACTATCCCCGTGGTCTACTATACCTAAACAGGGTCTAATTGCTGGTAATTATCTACAAAAAGTGAGTGTCTCAAGACAATCAATCCTACACTGGTACTGTGGGAACTTGTCCTTCAATCACATCACACACACACACAGAGGGAAGGTAAGGCAGGTGATTGAAAGCTTAAGGCTTCCTGTTTTTTAATCTTCCAGGTTCCATTGGCAGTTGGATCAGTTGCTACTGCAATCAGCACTACCGTGCATATCACCTATCTTACATGAAGTTGGCTGATATTCTTCCCACAGGATAAACACAGTGAAGTTGATAAGAAGAAACTTCATCAATTGCTTTTCTGTGAAGCATAGAGCAAAGGAAGGAAGTCAGGAAAGGAATAGTCTAGGAATGACAACTGATCTGAATGATCACTTCAGATACATGGTGAACAGCGTTTTCCTGAACAAAGACACTACAAAATCTGAACTCAAGTTGTGAAGTTATAAAAGGGTAAAGAAACCAGAGAGCGAAGAAAACGTTCTTGACAGCCCTGTATGATATGAAACCTGAAGAGCAATTAATTTGCGCACCTTGTAAGGACTACATGCATATGCTGCAGTTACAGAGCACTGCAACTGTTCAGCTATCTTCCCCTTGCAAAAGGATGCAGCTTCAGTTCTATTGCTGTCATACGCAAGCTAGCGCTGGAAACTATGTCTCAAAGCCGAGACAAGGGATTTGGGAAGCAACGGACATGAAATTATGGACCTATTTAGGATATGTGGGACGTTCAACAGGAGGCCTGACAGTATTATGTGGTAGGAAAGGAAAACATAGATGACTGGTAATAGTGAAGAATGGAGTAACTTAGGGGATCATTTGCTCATAACGAGCTGTTCACTCTGCATCCTTCTTTTATTAATGATTTGTCCTGTCCTAATGGTGCTAGTGCTACAAATGTTGCTAACCAGCTGTGTTAGAGGCTGTAGAACCTAAAACTACATTTTACCGGGTATAATGGATGCTTGAGTCAGATTAAAAAGTTGTGCTGAAACCAGTAATTAAATTCTTAGCCTTTAAGTGACTTCACAAACATACCAACTACGAGAAAGATCATTCTAGTCACAAAAAGGATATTATTAAACAATGTAATACATAACTAAGACTTACAACAATGAATGAACAAGAAAAAATTTACTCTATGAAGAATTAAATTTGTACCATTCAGGATAAGACTTTCTCCACTACTAAAACTAAGTCTGTACATATAATGAAGACTGAATAGTCTAAAAGACAGAAAGACAAACGCTGAAGTGACTACAGTTGTAACACTACCTAATGTTGAGCTGGTTTAATAGATTTAGAACACCAGAACCAAAAAAAACCACCTTGTTAAAAATGTGCTGGAAGCAAAGACCTAAAAGTGATGATTAAATATCTACCTTTGGAGAGAAAGTTTGTTTAGGCAAATTAAAAACATTTGCAAGAACAAGCTATAGGGAAGAATGGACTAAAACAAAACATTACGCACTTCCAGCTTATGTTCTTTCTCTGCAAGGAATTCTTTTTGACATCGGAGAAAGTCCGACAACATTCGAGTTAGCTGTTTTCTATCATCTATTTCAGCTGCCAACCTGCCATTGTAATCCGCCAGCAACATACATGCATCATCTACCATTTTGGAAAGTTGCTCTCCAGATTCCTTATCTAAAAAGCAAGCAGAAAAAAAAACCCAAGTAAAGCATGATTTCATTATATACTGTTAAGTTCTTAGAACACCATTTCAGTTACTCGATCCCCAACCCTCACCTGTTATTCTGTCTAACAGGGACACATCTTGGACCTCTATAGGCAAAGAAGCTATTCTCTGATGAACTGCTGCATCCCCAGAGGCAGCATTTTCTAGTTCTTGTAATGCTCTAATGAGATCTGTGGTCTGAAAAAAGCATGCAAGATTGAGAACTAGTTTAAATAAACAGATCCTAGTACAAAACAGTATTTCACAATAAGCTTATAGAATCAGTTCAATGGTAATTTTAAAAGCATTTATGATATCAGCATTATAGCAACATTCTACCCCCTCTCAGACTGAAAACAAACCACAACTAAGCCATTAATTCTCAGAACAATACTGCAGTGTTCCTAGTTTTAAAGGTCACCTTCCTAAAATAGATTTTTCATTTAAATTTTTGGTATAGGACTACTTACAAATCTTTTATTTTTGACAGTAGTGATTATTTTACAGTACCTTTCATTTTACTATACATTTTTGAAATTATTTTTCTTGTAGTTTTGCTTCACTATCGCATCAGACTAGATCAGTGCACTTCTTTTGGAAGTAGGGCTGATGTTCATAGAAGCCCAGATGTCTGTTACAGAGAAACATACTAAATTGTGATTATTTGAGGACAGTCATGCCTTTCCATAACAAAAAGCCTTTTGAGATGGGGTAGTACCATAACACAAAACTCACAAGAATTATAAAAGCCATAACAGTGCAAGGTAGACAGGAACTTTTCCCAACCATCATGATTGTAACATTGAGAAATACTTTATTGACAAACCGGTAATAATCTTATTCTAATACATGTGTTACTGGTTACCACCCTGGAAACCAAATGAGAACCTAAAACACCATAGAAACTAATGCTGAAATCCTGATGTGGACAAAGCTGGATATATAGTTCATACATTCTGGTTTAGTGTCAAACTGACTAAGGTTACAGCATGCTCAACCTCTTAGCTCAACTTGTAACCTAAAATACTGTGAAGTTTCAGGTGTAGTCACCCTTGCTCAGAAGTAGTACCTCATTAAAAAGAAAAACAGAGACCAATCAAAAACAAGAGTAACTGAAAAATTCTGTATCAAGCCGTATGCAAATACAGAATTTTATAAACATGCTTTTACCTGTGGAGGGTCAGTGGGAGAACTTCGAGGTGAACAGTTATTTTCATCAACTTTTATCTGTTCATATGTGCGCTTCCTCACCTTTCTGTCTCCATCTAAATGAAAACAGAGGAGTCAGAGAAATAATATTTCAAACAAGAGACTGAATCTTAATACACACAGAAAATACTTACACAAAGCTTGCCTAAGTTGTTCTAATACATCATTTTCATAAACAGACCTTTCTTCCCAGATAGAGAGCACTCGGCCAAGGTGTTTCTTACAACTCTCGTCAGACTCACTGTTACAAGAAAAAAAAGCAAAAGTCAGCAGTAGGTAAAAGTACAGCACTGCTGTATGATTACCTTTCACAGAAGGACCTTGGCATACTTTATCAATATCAAAGTATCAGAAGTCCAATAATCTCAGAAAATAACAAAATCACGTTTTAAAGAAAAGAAAGCAAAGACCAGTTCAAGACGTCTTAGCAAGCACATAAAAAAAGCCAACACCCAATTCCCTCTTTCTGTTTGCTTGCTCAATCTATAAATCTATAGGTCTGTAACCCTATTATGCAAACACTGCAAATAGGTTTGTGTTGCTTCAACAGCTGTGTACCATGTGAAAATAATTCTGTATCAAGACTCTAGCATCCTCATGCAACAAGATGAATGGCTGTTGGGAAAAAAACAAATCACGCAACACTAGTAGTGAAACATACAAACTCTTGCAGCATATAAACGCAGACTGAAAGCAAGTCTTAATTTAAGGCACAGCTAACAGCTTTCTAAGGCAAAAGGGACTCAATGCAGATGAATTTACTATGTAACTTCATCCAACAGCATTAAGACCATCCAAGATCAAAATAACATCGAATAAATTAAATTAACAAGACTTCAAGTACAGAAATAGCACACAAGGACTAGCTGGGTCAGAAGAGATGAATTGAGGACTTCTCTAAATCCCCCTCAAATACAGTATGATGAAGGACACTGCACATAACAGTTTACTGTACCTTGAAACATGCTTAAAAGCCTCCACTATTACTGGAGCAAAGTCTTTTGTAAATTCTGGTCCTTTCCTTTTGCTGTTCTGTATGACATCATTGGCCAAGTACAGGAATGTCAGCTTCCTATTTGGTTTTGCTAATAAAAAGAGTGATAAACAAGAATAATTAGAAATTTTAGTTCCTCCAACTAATACTTATTTATCCACATTTAAACTAAACACCAAAAAACCCAAATCAAATGTGTTTTTCCTATTCTCATTACTGTTTACAACATTTCTCTGTAATTTTATATTTAAAAATGTAAAAAGACTTTGATCACCCATTGGCTTTTCTCTCTCTTCTGCTGTAAGTCTTTGCTCACATCCTTCCTCCTTCATAATACGACACAAGTTCCCTCTAGCCCGATCTCCAAAAATAAAGACAAAAAACCATGATATTCCAAAGTGTTCTTCAGCCCGCAGCTATTTTCAGGTGTTTTCCTGAGCCTGATGTGATTTGTCTGTCTGGTAGCCTCCATGGATTTCTTCCACGTACTTCAGCTTCCCTTTGAGCCTGTATAAATTTCTTACACCCATGACATCCTCTGACAAGGAGCTTCACAGATCCACAGTCATTCACGTGAAGAACCTTCTCCTTTCAGTTTGAATTTCACTCAGTCTTATATTCATTCTTGTATTTGAGCAAACCGAACAGTCAATCCCTAGTCAACCTCTCCATATCACCATGATACTCCCCTCCCTCATCTCCTAATCATTAAAACACCCACGTGCCTGAAGCTGTAATATCAGAAAACATTTCCAAAAATCATTTTCAGGCTGCTGTGGTGTCTCTCTTCTCCAAGCATCTCGAGCACTTTACCCCATTCCCATTAACGTGCAATAGATTACAAGCTTCCAATTTACAAGTTGCTTTTGAAAAATCTATTCTGTGTTTTCTAAGTGTTCCTACTCAGGTATTTTCATTTACCATCACACTTCATCTAATCTTCATTAGTCTACAGGTTTCTCAGAGCTGCAACTCTTATTGTAACACTTCTAACCTTGTGTTAACACCAGAAAAAAACTTTCAATATCCATTACCACCACACAGTGTCAGTATGTACGCTCCGACTTTAAAAAGAAGTTTCTCTTGAAAACAAAATTTAAGTTTTTTCTGTCATCTTGAGGAAAGCAGCACTGTGGTAAAGCCAATCTAGGATTTCTTAAAACTCGTGCTTAGTTCCCAATATGATTTGATTTTGTTAATTTCCATTCCAACCTCTCAAACATGCAGAACCACCACCTTCACATACAAACAGAAAATTCAATGTTGATATGCTTCCATTCTAAAGAAATGTTTTTGAGAATAAATTTTGCACTATAGAAAGATTCCTCTGAAGGATTTCTCCTTGGAGTATTGATTTTTTTCTCCCATCCTCTTGGACAGACATATGCAGCAAGTTAAGAGTGTTCTGGATTAAGTGGGAAAAAAACCCTGCATTATACGTAAAAATGCACCTATCTCTTAGAATAAAGGCAAACTAAAAAGTGGCAAAAAAGAATTAGTTTGGAAGTGCTGGACACAAGGTGGATCTATTAAAAGTTTGCTGCAAACAGTGAAGTCACTACATGCAAACACTCAGGAAATTCATCTATTTGGGTCAAAATCTGGCTAAACTAAACTGTAGATTTTATAAACTTATGCTACTTAATTTCTTTATTAAAAGCTGACTGACAACACAGCAACACACCTCCTACCTATGTTTCAGGTAAACCATAGTTCTGACACATAAAAAGCTTTGAATTATTCAAAGAGAAAAATCTTAGAAAACACATCTTGTCTCACGGATACACCAAACTTAACTAGCACTTACCAAAGCTGACCCTGCCCCCCCCTCACCATTTCTTAAATGAGCCCAGAATTAGGACTCAAAATCAAATGAAGCAGACTGTTCCCCATACTAGATCCTCTGAACTGCATGCAGGCTAAGTTCTTGTCTATCCATTTCACAGAAAAAAAAAAAAGTCATGGTTTAATCCTCAGTGATGTAACTCATCTGTGACAGACCTCAACTTCCTTGTTTCCCACAAGTAACCAAATCAACTGAGCTGGTAGAGACAGGAGATGTATGCAGCGCCATGAAGTCGAGTGATGTTGATTCTCACGAAGCCTAGACTTTATCTGTTCACTACAGTAAACAGATCAATATGCTGTCTTTGGAAAAAGCATGCTAAAACCCGGAAAGTCACTTTTAAGCTTATTTCCCCTAGTATTACCTTTTCAGCTTCCTACTACAATTCAACAGAAACAAAGCTGCATTTAATGAACAAAAATCCTCAAAACACTATAAAGCTATCGGTGGCTTTGGTTAGAAATTCAACGAATATTCTACCCTTATGTTCACAAAGAATATTGTGAAGTAAAGTTTAATTCCTACTGTTGTAAGAATGTTCTGCGCAAAATTCCAAAGCTAAAAATTATACCTACTTTCAAGAAGTGTTCCCTTTCACTTCACAAATCTTCAGGAGTTACATACTGCCCTACTACTGCTCCGCCTTACACACGAGACTAAAGTGCAACGTAACCAACCTTTAGCAACTGAAGTTGACAACTCTGAGCTGAAAAAACCCGAAGTGTTCTATTGCTACTATGACTGTAAATTAACTACTGAAGTCCGAAATACAAAATTAAATTCCAGACCAGATGGATCTGTTCTGAAAAAAATTATCTGTTTCAAGCATCTCTTTTCAGTAGCAGTGACACTAACTTTTCAGCCCTGGGCTTTGATATACCTCAGAACACCAAAATGGATCAAAGAACAGTTAGACTATTTAAAAAGTGTCCTCAACGCATGGCAAGGCTATTAGCAAAAGCACTCTTACCGTCAGAAGAAAATGAAAGAAAAAAAGTATGATCTTAGGTTAAAGAAGGATCTGAAAGGCACATACTGCCAGAACGTATAGTGTTAGAAGTAGCTAGCCCACTGTATCTCTGGTACACTAACAGTACAGTCTGCAAACACAAAACTGCTAAGAAAGCATCCATGTTGGACTGAGTCATCTTTTCAGAAGCTCTGTGCGGTGTTCACATAACTCTTCTGCTCGTTTCAGTTAGATTTACCATTTACCCACCAAAGCAGTCAAAGCAGCTCCCTGAAGTGCTGCATTCTGAAATATTTTAACAGGTCAACAGTGCTGGCTGGTATAAAGGCCCTATTAAGTAGATTACTCTTAAAGCATCCACAATGAGACTAACTGGGATTGGCACCTTGTAACTGAAACTAAGTCTGTTCCAAAAATGTATCTGACATATTCAAATGCCAGTGAATACTCTGCAGGTATTCATGGTATTTCATCTGCAACTAGCATAATCAGGCATCTACGGTGGAGAGACTTAGCATTCTCATTATCAAGCCTTAGTTTTCGGCCATCTATACTTCTTGGGAGTGCATACTTGTTAGCCTGGCCTGGGTATTCCTGGTTCTCTACCAGTCCAATATAGATGCCCTGACATTGTATGCTTGAGTCCATAATACTTAGAGAACTCTAACACTGAAGAGACACCACTTTAGTGCAAGCAACTCCAGTATTTTACCTTGGAAGGCAGTAAGCATGTTATTTTCCACTTAGGTTAACTCTGGCAATCAAAGCCAGCATAATCACCATATTTGTCTCTTCCAGGTTTACCTCCTTGCACTGGAAATTGAGCTCCCATGAAGATTGCTAGAAACATGTCCATTAGTTTCATGCTGTTCTACACCTTTTCCCTAGAGCCAAGAGATATTTGCTGTCTTAGACATACAGGAGGAAACTACAGAGAAACACACAGGCATACGGGATTTCACTTACATGCCACTACAAGTGTATAGACTATTGACCCATCTGAAAATGTTACATCAGGCTTTAACCTTCTACAGGCCAGCTCTGCTATGCCAACTGACCTTGAATGAAAATATCATTTAACAAGAGGTTTTGAGAAAATGAGCATCAGTAGGTTAAAAATCCCACAACAGTTACCAGCACTAAACAGTTTCTTTTTTACTAAAGTTTTCTAATATGGATTCAAATAAAGATTTGGCTCAATTGCTTTTGAATTACATTAGTCTACATACATGCAGCAGAGTATACGAGTGTGAGCACTTCTCCCAAAATCCCTGGGACACTTCCTGTGTCATAGCATGCTTCATACCTTTGCATGAAAAGTTACGCGATATCTTTGTAAACATCTGACAAGCTTTCTCACTTTTTATTACAAGACCCAACTCATCTTTTTTAAGTCAAGCAGCATTGAAACTTGAGTGCAAGATCACTGACCCTTTACACTGAGAGCTAACCTGAGTTTTTATGCAAGCTGATTAAGTGCAGCATCTTTGGTAACATGACTGAAAATATATCTGTAAAAAGTCACTTGAGAGGCTACCACCAGAAAGGACAATTCAAACATAATATAATCCATAAGGCATGTTGTACAATGAGCACTTAATCTTAAAATTCATTAACCTTCTGTTATGAAAAAGTTAAGTTTAAGTGTTCAACATTGCACAGTCACCTGATTCTCCCGGTGAATTTTACCAAGGTTTGAGAACTGCTGTGTCTCCTTTTCAAAGAGGGGAATGAGATTGCCCACAGAATGGGTGTTCAAGATTTGAGGGTCCAAGTATCTTGACTTTGAGTTTGGAGGCTAGTAGACAAAGGGAACACAGCATACAGCCACTGCTGCGAAAGAGGCCATCAGCATCAAATTACCACAGGGATGCAAGAAAGTTGGTCACAAACCAAGCAAACCATTCCAACACCATTACTCTGCAGAAGCTTCCCACTGCACTTAGTGTATCTTGAATTACCTGAACATGTGAAACAAACCAATTCTTTTTGTTGCCTGGCCTGGCCGGTACAATGCCAAGATGGGTATGAATCGACAGCAACAACAGTTTTAGGATAGGAAAAAGACACTGAACTTAAGTATTCAGAACCAGAATGATGAAAGACAGGCAAGTACAGGTAAGATACCAGGACACAAGTGGTACAGCAATAAATGAATATAGATTCATACACACTGCATTCTTTCAAGGCTAGTATTAGAGACTCAACTAGTCAGGCTGGATTACACAATCCAAATGTGACTATTTTAACTGAAGGATTCTTATATTGCTAATCT